TTGCTGACTGTAAGTCAAGAGTCTAGTAACCTTTAACGCACATTTTGTATTTGGTCTCACAATTGTATCTGACCATCCATTACTTTTATAAAATGGCCTTAGTAAGAATGAATTTTCAAGCTGACATACCAGAAACCGTTTTTCTTATATGTCAGACTAAAATAAAACGTTAACAAATACACCATTCTAAATACTGGTGATACAGAAATGAACATACCCAAACAAAACTCTGGCATATTCGTATGGTAGGCTTGTTTATTGTTCTTCAAGATATAATCATATGCTTTCCTTAAGTAAATTTTATTCCTTATTTTTGACTATTTCCTTTTATTTTATTTTAATTTTGCCAAGCTCATTTCCAATCCTTGCTTCAACACCAAGCTACTCTATTCACCATGGAGCCATTTAAAGAAATATCAGATACATGTTTTCTGTTATGCCATCCAGATTTGTAGATAAAATGCCTAAGCCCTGAACTCAGATCCAAAGCCTAGACATACCTCCGGCTAGCTCCTCAACTTTAACCACTCTCTGATTACACAGATCCACATAGCTTTGCATTAACTACAAAGTTGTGTATGCTGGACAGTATTTCCTAACTTTGCTGATAATAACATTATCCTGGACCTAAGGTCAAGGGAAATAATAGAAATTAGCCTGATGGTGTTTTCCTAATGAAGCTATTCTCACAGTTATTTTGAAAAAATCAAGGTGTTATTAGATTAATCCTCTATAATATTTTTTTCCAGAAGTTGGATTATATTTTTCCCATTTCAAAAAAAAAACACAACCATATTTAAAGTGGCTTCAATTGTCTAAGCCTCAACAATATTTAAGAAAGACTACTAATTTGTATTGATGCGACAAGGTCTTCAAATACACAGAATGAACTCATAGGACTCATGACCTTTCATATATTTAGCTTATTTAGTGACATTTGTCCAGGATTTATTTTGGAGTCCTGACTTCATATTTTGCTGCTAATTTCCAATCACACATAGAAGTATTTCCATATACATATTTCATGACCCTAAGAAGGATAACTTCTAGTTACACTATCAAATTTCATAATCAGAATTTAAAGCAATAGAAAGGGGAAAAGATACATCCCCAGCTAGTAGGTTAGAAATGTTCCTGTCGCATATACCATATACTTATCCCGTGACTATATCTTGAGCAGCTATGTCTCAGGCACTGTGCAGGTGCTGTGGATACAGACGTGCACAAGGCAGATATGGCCTCTGCCCTGAGGGAGGCTTCAGTGCAGCTCCAAAAATCAAGAGAAAAGATGCTAAAAAATAAATATATTACTGGAGGTTTGAGGGTGAAGGAAAGGAAAAAGAACACTATAGTCAAAGCAAAAGCTACAGGTGATGAGGATGAGTCGTTTGAAGGGAAGGGAGCGTACAGAGCCGATGAGCTCCAGATGCTGAAAGAAGTCAATATACAAAGAAGCCAAGCTCCCCTAATGCTCGTGGCTTCTGAGACCGAACACCAGAAGCCCAGTCTATGATCCCCAGGGAACTGGAGCAAGGACCAGAACACGAGAAAGCCAAGAATGACTTCAGAGCCCCACTCTCCCGTAAGATCATGACTTGAGCTGAAATCAAGAGTTGGACGCTTAACCGACTGAATCACCCAGGTGCCCTCAACTGAGAAAGGATTTGCAATGGGAGGTATATGGGCTCAGGAAGGAGGCAGCATTTAGTCTGGGCCTTGAAGAAGATACAGCTAGTAGAGATCTGGTCAAGGGTGAGGTATGTGGTAGGAAGATACTGGGATTGTCATGGTGCCTTGAGTGATAAGCAAGGCTGAGAAATCAGGAGAGGCAGAAAACAGGAAAGTGTGTTTGCCAAAAATTACAAATTCCAACACACTGAAATATGGCTAGTGAAGTTCTAAAAAAAAAAAAACATGCAGAATGGAGCAAAGAAAAAACTGCATTAGGTGAGCAAATGTTTTTAAGTCAGGACTACAAAAAAAGGATGTGATTCAAAAGTTAAAGATGCTAAACACTTGATTAGATGTTTGTATAGTTGAAGAATGAATCACTGATAGCAATGACTAATCACTAGATGCATGTAAAATATACACGGAGTTAAATACAGCAGAAATTTCAATCAGTGCTAGGATACAGGGGTGTTAATCCTTACCACTTACTGAACACCTACCAGGTGACAGGAGCTGTCCTGTATATGGATTGTTACACTTAGTCCACAAAATAACCCAACTAAGCAGGTTTTATTAACCTCATTATACATAAGGAGACTGGGGCTCAGAAAAGTTCCACGGCATGAATTAATTTACACTCCTCCTTGATAGTAGAGCCAAATTTTTGGCCAGCTTTTCCCATCTTGAGGCCATGCTCTTCCCCCCATGCCAATCTAGACTGATTTATATTTTAAGAAAAATTAGGTGGATTCAAGGATACTTCCATAGTAATGTCACCCTCATTGGTTATGGGTGCATTTCATATAGTGATCTAGGGCTGGAGATACAGCCTGCACTTCAGGGATGGAATATAAAAACTTGAGAGTGTATTGCAGCCTATCTGAGAACATCATTGTCAAGTGGATGAGAACAGCTGATGAAAAAGAGTAAAATGTTTCCTTAAGTTCTTAATCAGTCATGCAATAGAGATCAACGGCAAGAACACAGGTTTGAGAAACAGAAGGCCCTGGATTCCAAATTTGAAGTCTACTCTAGTTACATGGAAAACCATGGACAGGTGATTTTACTTCTTCAATCTCAGTTTCCTCATATAGTCATTACGGCAAATTAACAGTAAATTTATGTAGAAAGAAGAAAGTCCGCTTTGGATAATAGAAAAGTACATCATTAAGGCTAAGGAGAGTTGGCCTCATTCAGGCATTAAGTTAGCTCTCTGGTCTTGGGCAAGTCACAAACTCTCTTCTGTAAAATGTAGACAGTCACCATCTCCCTAAACATTTGTTGTAAGAATCTGAGTATAGTGTATGTTAGGTACCTAGAGCAGCTACACTACAGCAATGTACCATATTAAATCATTAACACAATGTGTGGAAAAATATGTATAACTTTCCACCCTATTTGCTTCTAAACTTGGGCTATATTATAATGTTATTGGTGACTGTAACTTAAAAATGCTACAGACTATTGGAAAATCATAAAAACAACTCGGTAAAAATTGGGCACCTCAGGAATTTTTAAAAATTGCTAACTTGGTATTGTTTTAAAAAGAGAAACTTCACATAAGTGGAAAATCATTCAGTCTTTTCCCTTACACTCTCTAGTAAGCACCCCCCCCCAAAAGCATTCCCTTCTAAAACATGCCATTAAACAAAGTACTTAGTCAATCTGGGAAATAAGAGAATAGTACTGTTAACAGTACTGTTAACAAAGACTTTGATAATTTTGTTACTAAGAAATCGTTAAACGTGCTTGCTATCTCTGATACCATTGTTAAATCAGTAGGACTGATCTGTGGTCAATCCATCATGCGAACCATCAAAAAATATCCATTCTTGCAAAGCTGGTCCCACCCCTCAAAAACAAACTGACCTCAAGACAGGATTTAAATGAATCACTCCAAAGTAAATCGGGGTTACACTCTTGGTCTTCACTATTTGAGCAAGTCAGGAGAAATGCAAATACTAGATTAGAGTTGTATACATCTGTGTCCACACATCCAGCACATGGTTTATCGATCTGAGCAAATTTGGGGAAGTTCAACTTACATTTTGGGTTTAGAAAAATAATTTAAAAATGAAGAAAAAAATGTATACCCACATAAGGGTGATTTTGCAGTGTTGTGCCAAACAAGAGGGTTACCATCACTTTGCCTCCTGTCCCATCTAGATGCCATTTTCCTGACTTGTCCACGAAGTAGCCTCATGGATGCCTTAGGACACCACTGCATACCTGTCCGGAAATGTGCCCATTGGTTGAGGCTCCATTTCTTACACTGTAAGAGGTATGTGACTAATTCCTCCTCCATAGAGGTGCGACACATAAGGTCACTCAAGCCTCCCCTTGTCCAGCATTTGCACTCCCACAAAGATTCTTCTTCTTCTTCTTCTTATTTTTTACTTTAAGGAGGATGGGGACTTGCAGGTGTTTTCCTAACTGGTTTGCCGAGAGTTTCAAATGCTTAAAAAGAATCTGAAACCAAGTGAAGTTTGGTCTTCACACTTTGAAATATCCGTCCTGGGACGTGGGCTGGGTGTCTGTGGTTATTCAGAGCTAGGTAAGGTGTGAGCTTTTGAAGGAACTATAATCTGATGCACACCGGCAGGCGTAAGGTGGGGGAGGAAAGAACTGTCTGAGCAGCAAAGAAAGGAATTGGAGTCTGCAGAGCACATCCTAAGGTTCCGGTGTTGCTAACTCCATCCCTAACCACCTCGCTGCTGGGAGGGGAAGGACCGGCGACCCTGGCTTGGGTCTCAACCGCCGGCCTAGACACCTGGCCTCCGGATCCGGCTAAACCCTGTCTCCCCTCCGGTCCCGCAAAGGGGCAGGCGCCGCGCTCTCGTTCGCGTTGGACACCATCAGACTGCTCTCTCCCTGAAAGTGCTAACTTCAGGGGCTTGGGGAGAGCAGACCAGAAGGGCCAGGCTGTGGGGTCTCCGGAGGTTTTCAGGTAGGGAAGAAGGACGACCGCCCCGGTGGTGGCCGCCTTTCCTCCTCGTCCTCCACCCCCGGTGCCCCCACCCCCCACCAAGTCCGCAGGACCTGCGGCGGCCGCTCTGTGCTCGGCGCCAGGCTGGGGTCCCCGGCCCCGCCGCTGGGGCTGGCGTGGGATGGGTGGGGTAGGGGCTGGCGGGTCCCCGAGCCCTGGCAGCGGGTGGCTCCAAGGACCACACAGTGGGCAGACGACCACATATTCTGCGCGCCCGAGAGCGGGAGCAGTCAGGGACGCGAGCGAGGCGGGGCGAGCGGTGGCTCCCGCGCACCTAGCGGACCGAGCCCCGCGGTCCTCGGCGGGCCGCCCCTCTCCATCCCTCCGCGGTCCCCGCCCTTACCTCTGGGCGCGAGGGTGCCGGCGGGGAGGGCGCTGGGGAGCGGCGAGCGGTCTCCCGGTCGGACTCAGCGGCGGCCAGCGGCAGCGGGGTCGTCGGCGGGGCCGCTGCTCGGGGCGAGTGGCGCCCGGAGCACTGCGGCCGCGGCCACGGCGGCGTCTTCCTCCTCGTCCTGTTCGCGGGCTCCGAGCCGGGACGCAGCTACCGCCCCAGCCCCGCAGCCCTCCTCCCCTCCGCCTCCCCGGCCGCGGACGGAGCCGCCTCCAGCGCCGCCCCGCGCGCAGCCGGGCCAGCGGCAGCCAGCGCCGCCCA